CGCCTAGGTCTTATCAATACCCTCAGCGGCAGCCGAACCAATACAATACAGCGCGTAATCTTGACCAGTACGCCACACTGACAGGAGTGTCCTTGAGTCAGAGGGCAGATGTGCACTTCAAGGAAGGTCAGGCAGTTGCCCATATCAAATTATTTGGTGGGATTTATTTACTTCTAAATTAACCAAAACTCTTCTCTTAGGTCAAAACCTGATCCTGAGACTCTATTCAGTTCGGGGTTTTTAAATTCGTCAAATTAGTCTTGAAATCACACACACTAATCCGTGTGCTGGGGGCCAACTGATATTGTGCCCCAACCTTAGCTGCATCACCCAAATTGATAAGAAGTAGGTTTAGATTATAAACTTATCAAAGTGCATAATCCATCATTTTAATATCCTCAAGTGGACCCCTGGCAAGTTTTAGGAGCTGATCCTAGGTTTGACTCCCCTACCTGCAATCATCTTGTCTCGATTTATATTTGTCTCTCAAAATCTTTTTTCTGAGGATGTCTCTTCAAGTAATTTGCTTGATTCAGGCATCTTCTTTTTGCCGTTCATGCCAAAATCCGAGCTTCTACAAGTTTGTCTAAACAGTAAGCAAAATTGTAGTTTACCCGCCCCTCTTCCGATCTCCAGTCTATTAAATTCCTTAAGCTAAAGATACTCACGGATTCCCTGATCTTGCGTTTTCTCGTATCTTCACTGTATACGAGTATTCCTTCAGTTGCACTATAGTTGATATTCTGATCAAGGTGAAGAATAACTTAAAAGAGTGATTGATAAGAATAAGTGATTTCAAAAATACCGATGATTTACATATGAGAATTGAAATAGGCTATTTGTCCCTGTCGTATACAAGAACTGATAGTCGTTTGACCTTGTTTACGCAACTTGATCATATTGGCAGAAAGACTTTGAGGAACGCGCCTTGTCCGGAGTCCATAGTATGCATGATGATTTTCAGAGTCGGACCGTGGACTTGGTACATTCCTAGATTTCACCGGCATCATAAGTGAGCCTTGCCATTCTTAGCACCACAATACAATTAGATAGAGAGACAAGTGAAGCTTATCCTCTGACCAATTGTCCGCTAAACAGTTGTGTCATCTCTTTTTCTGTCCTGGGCTATTCACCTATCCTATATCCTCGTATCACCCCTTCAATAACAATATTTCTTACTTGTTTATCTTAGCATATTTGGAATATATTCACACTCCCCGCTGGCTTCCACATCTCTCCCACTGTGCAAGGAGTGTATGGTTTAATCCGCAATCCTCTCCCTCAGGATCCTATCAGAGTCCACTTCTTGCTTCGTAGGATCATTTCCTTATCTGCCTGTTTCAATTATTTTACGCCATCGCTGCCACCGTATCCGCGCTACTCAAGATGTCATGTTCTACACTCTGCCTCAAGCCTTTCATAGCACGTATACACCATCCTCAATGAGCAAGCCCTTAAAGCCTGGATTCTCAATTGGCATAGAAACCTAACTTGACGCTGCAGATTCACATATCCCTATGCGACATGTGCACCGAGTAAATCTCGTTGTCAAGCCTTTAATTCATGGGCCACGTCTGAGAGCAAACTTATCTATTAATAGCTAAGCAGAAATGGCCATTAGCGCTTATCTCACTCTTATATCCCTAATGCTAAGTCTATGATATGGAGAAGAGATGGGTTTCGAAGACTCCCTTAATATATTGATACTGACGTAACTTTCATTTCGTTTGAGGTGGGTGAAAGGGATTCATAAAATGGCCGCACCAGATACCGCCTTGGTCTTTTGTCTGTTGAACTGTGCGAAGAAAACCTAGGCTTACAGTCATACAACCCCGATGACTCCGTACTGAGCTTTCATCCGTCATGTGACGGGATTCGTCAGAGCCAGAAACCATTATTCACGAAAAAATCACCAAAATACATTAAACTGAGAAAGCTTTAGTCATAGGACGATGAGCCGATGTTTTTTTCGCACATTTCATCAGACAAAAGTCCAAGGAAACCCTCCTGAGGTATCCGGTAAGGCCAATCTAAAAATCCCTTCTACCCGCCTTCTCAAATGTTATGAAAGGTACTCCAGTGCCAACTTTATGACTTTTTCTTGCGTGCCGATCCCCAAATGTGGTGGTTCTACTTGATTTGAATAGATTTATATAAACAAGTATGAAGTTGTGATACTGAAGGTGATACGAGGATATAGGCTGGGTGATTAGCCCAGAACAGAATGAGAGATGCCACAACTTTTTAGCAGACAATTGATAAAAGCTTCGACATCACTTGTCTCTTTGTCGAGTTGTTGCGTGGTACTAAGAATGCCGAGGCTCACTGACGATGCCGGCGAAACTTCTGGGAATGTACCAAGTCAACGGTCCGACCCTGAAATTTATCATGCATTCTATGGGCTCCGGAGAAGGTGCGATCCTCTAGTTCTTCCTACCAATATCACTAAATTGCGTAAACAAGGTCAAACAACTTATATACAACGAAAGGTGAACGCGACTATACAAAAGGCCCCACCATCCTGGTCTTCATACCTTCGGTTAACAGCGATTAATTATTCACAAAGAGACCATTTGAGAAGTCTCAGAATAAGAGCTAGAAGACCAAAGGTAAAATCAGTGAAAATTTTCTCGCAGATGCACAAGAAGAGCGCTGAATAAGCCAAAGTAAATGGGTCAGAGTGAGAAATAATGAAGGATGCAAAGAATTCAGGTTTCTGAATTTCCTTTAAGTATGGTTACTTAAGAAATATAAGTAACTAGAAAAAGTGGCCAGGAACTTTACTCAGTCGTCGCTTGCAAGAGGTTGGAAAGGCCAGAGGACACTAGTTCTCTTAAAGGTTTTTGTCTAACATAGCCCATTCGAGCTTACTTAAGAAGTCTGATAATAACGTAAATAAAATAAAGAATAGCATACTTAAAAACGCGAGCATAAACCTTTGTTTGTATATCTGTTCGGTTGATGCAATGGATCAATTAGTTCGGTAATGAACGAAGCATTTGCATAAATGTAAGCAGAATCAGGCTTGAGCGAATAAAACAAGAGGTAACGCAAGAAGCCATGCAATCTTGAATGTCTCGTTCACAAGCCATTCTACTGGTAACTACTAAAACTGTTAGCGATTTGAATTGACCATCAGATCAATGTGAATTTTGATAGAAACAGACTGAAAAAGAGATTCTACCTGCAGCCCACCGCTTAAATGCAAACCCATCACAAAATACGAAACTAATTGTGGATATTAATTCAAGCCCAAGATCGTAATAGCCATTATAAAAGCTAGTCAAGCTGGCCAATTGTTAACCCTCAGAATCAGCTCTTAGCTCCAAGCCAACTATAATGCAACACCCGTGATTTGCCTGTCCCTCAACCCCCTTGTTGGAAAGAGAATTATTAAACAAGGCACATACAGCCAAAATATGTGAAGAAAGAGGAAGCCAATGTGTGAAGTGGAGGAAAACAATATGTCATTCCAATAATTCAAATGATTTAAGTCAGTTTATGATGAAGATATCTTCAACGTAAAGGATTTTTAAAGATTCAGTTGTATGTAGTAGAAATGCATACTTTTTTTGACAAGTTTAATAATCTTGAAATTAATTGTTAATAACGATTAATTACTTATAATTGCTTAGTTCGTGAATAATAATTAAATGACTTGTAATGACTTATACACTAATCATGCGCTACATTCGTAGTTTTGTTATAGTCATCTTTTTCGTCATTAAATACACAGTCATCTCTCAATCGACCTGTGAAATCACTCGGAGGATGATTAATGTTCATTCTGTTCCGTGGTGACCAAACAAACCTAGTCACTGAATCGAACTTTATTCTTGAAACAATTAGAACATAGCGTTAAAAGTAGAAGACTTTCATTTCACATGAAAGTGCATGATCAAAAGACTAGTGGGTCAATTTCATTAAAAGATGATGGCTGATTCTCGTTGCACTGTAGTCGTTTAGCTTAAATACGACGTTCAGGTTGATGAAAGTCTTCCAAACAATCGTATCTTAGCAAACTCTTCGAAACTGCGTTTCCTAAGCATAGTTTACACTGAGGTCATTTATTCTGCAACCCATAGTTTCCATTAGACGTAAGACTGTGATTACTCTAAACACCCCACCCTCGCAACGACGTTCTTTCCTGCACATTTTTCATTTTATATGCAAGACCGGATAACTACATTGAAACGCGTAGCCGAGCACATATTTATATTGGCATCAAGACCAATAAAGGTTCAATATTTAATGATGTTAGTAACACTTAAATTAGGGTGGAGTACTTCTGTACCTGACTGTGCCCAGGATTTGCTTTAATGGAGTGAGGACTTTTCCTTGAATCTGATTCGGAGGCCGCAGCGCCCAAAGAGGTCAGCATAACCGATGGCGATCGCCTCTTGGCCTCTACTAACTCAGCGTCCGTGTCCGGTTCACTGGTTGGGTCTGAGGTTGGCTGAAGATCGCGAGTCAAAGATAACGTTTTAACGAAAGGTCCTGAGGAATGCTCGGAATGAGAAGAAGAAGAAGAAGAAGTTGAGGAGGAAGAAGAAAGAGTCGAAGAAGCAACTGAAAAACAGATAGAAGCTGTTGGAGCTATTTGGGATGAATCAAAGAGACCGGATTCCGCAGTTGGACGCTGAATCTCTACCCCTTTACTGCAATCTCCAGGCCCCAGCATCCGGGATTGGGGATTGCTACATACAGGTGACAGCTGACGATTTGACCTTAACTTCGACAACTGCTCAGGGGCATGGAGGCAGACGCGATGATGAGACTTATAAACATTTGTTTCCACCTGCTGCTGCGCTTGAACGGGCGAATGAGAATGCAAGTGAGACGAATGAGCTAGCCCTATGGATTCTTCGGGATTCTGGCCAGATTGACGGTGACGGTGGTGATGGTGGGGATGATAGATGTGTGCTGCAAGCTGGGTTTGATCCATCGAATCAGCTGTTTGAGTACGATGCTGCGGCTTGCGTTGTGCTTGCAAGCGTGCTTGCCGCGGTAATTCTTGTATATGGTCTCTATCTTGCCTCTGACTATTACTTTTAATTGTATTATCATTAATTTTGTTGGTGTGTTGCGGTTGTGAATGTTGACGTTGAGGTGAGCCTACTAGGCCATATCCGCCATGGAGACGCATGTGGCCATTGAGAGCAGACTGGTTTTTGAATCGTTTTCCGCAAACATCACAGCCGACCCGCTTAGGTTCTTCCAGAGGATGGGTCATGAACTGGGCCACCTAAAGGGCGAGTTTAAAATAAATTATCTTTGTATTTATTCTATCTTATAATGTGTTTTCGAGAATGAGTTTAAAAATGAGGGCAGTTTGGAGTTGAGGCGCCTTATTATTTAATTGTATGGAGGAGGTGAATGGTATTTGGAAATGGAGGATGGTGATGATAACTAATTAGTAAAAATGTATTGGTCGTTAATTAATCTGTAGGTAACTTGATTATACTGACAGTAAATAAATTATAAATTTATTGCGCTACGCGAAAAGAAGCAAAATAGGTTACCAATTTAAAACGTATGCTTTTAATTTTAAAAAATGCTAGAGCTGAAGTCAGCATACTTGTTTTGAAAAAAAACACACCAGGGAACTGGTAGTTGAATTTTCCCACAATGATATGAGTAGACGTCACAATAGTTATAAACTTAACAAAATCATGTAGTCGACCGCTATAGCAAATGCAACTTTGCATCATCGACAATCCCACCACAGAATGTGATATGGAAAGATGCCTGGCTTTCCTTGAATTTAACATCTTTCTTGTGACTCAAAGGCACTCACGGTATTGTGGCATAGTGATTAGCGCGTCGAGAATATACGCTACACTGTTATGGTTCGAGTCCCGCCAGGGTTGTTGATAAAACCTAGGCGAGGTCAACTCTATAGAGCCAATTCATTCAACGTTCCTATTGCTTATATTCGTACTTGATTCTAATTGAGGTTTTGGTAGACGAGTAAAATCAGTAAATATGAGAAAAACAAGCTGATTTTCAGAAAATGTTGGGAAAAGTTTTTCTGATTCTTTCTAGCAAGTTTTGGGGGCATGTGATTTTAATACCTGACTATATTTAAATTCAAAGTACACAGTTATTTATGCAGCAAATGTAAACGGATTTATTGACAAGAATGCTTGGTAAGCCTCTAAACTTGGATAGCCGGTGAATTCGAATTCGCTTAGTGAATTAAATACCAAAAAATCTGATATATTCGGATACATACATCTTCATTGGTGTAGCCGTAGCCGAGGGATATCCTAGTCAATTAGTCAAACTCGTCCCAGAATTTAGC